TTCCACCTTCCGATTTACGACTATAACTCTGAATTCTTGTGCTTCGAAATTTGTGTTGTTCAGCTAATGCCAAAAGAGAAGTATCTGCATAGAGCTTATATCCAGACTCTTTAGAAATGCGAGACGCCTGGCAGCATAATGTTAATAGTTCTTGAGGGATCCTGGCATGCACTCCCAGAATATGACGTCTGCAATCGGCTAGACTGGCTGGTCTAATATCGCTTTCAACTTCATCACGAACAACCTGTGAAATAGAAAAGAAATCAGCGATGATGCAAATCAATTAACACTGCTAGCACTAGAACAGATTTTCCGAAGACAAACCTTTATACTAGGAATTGTAGATAAACAAAAAACCATTACGACAGATAGACCAACAATTTACGCTAATATATGAAAATAGAAAACTAGCCAAATTTTAAATAAAGGACTCACCGCAAAACGACGTCCACATATGCAAATGTACGAGTAAATTCGATTTCCTCGTGAGACAACAGTAAGATGATGCTTAGAGTAGACTTGCATCTTGACTACCAAATCATCGTATTGATCAAACATACCCTCTCGCTCCAGCAAGACGCGCAGTACATTATCAGAGAAAGGTAATTCAATACGACGGTGGATCTCTTCGTTTTGTTTAACATTTTCATCCGAATACGTATTAGGAGTATCATTAGCAACTATAATAGAGTTATCATGAGTTTTGGTTGGAGTGACGAAATAGTCCTCGGAGTTTAGATTTACGTTGGCAGTGAGAAAACGATTATCACTCTCTTCATCAGCGCCGTGAACCCCTTCCTGATGACTATCGTCGTACAAATCTGTCTCGATAGTTTGTGTTTCTAGTTCTTCTTGATCATTGAGTGATACCTGAGACTTGGTAAAATCATTTGAGAATTGATTATTTTCATCATTCACTACTTGGGAATAAGTTTCATTTGAGTCCTCCTTTGCTTCTTCGGCATCACTATCAGTCGAAGTGACTTTAAGGTTTGATCTTGCATCGGTTAGTTGTATTTGTCTTCGCCTATGATCTTCAACGAATCGAATCATCCTGTCATCTGAATGCAAGCGATACGTTGTAGTATCATGTCTAGAAGCCCGAAGACAGAGTCTGAAACGCTTAGTAGAAATACCACAGTGAGACCCCATAATATGTTTACGAATATCAGCTAACGAGTGTACTGAAGTATACATGCAAGTCGGACAAGAAAAACGTTTTTGTGCTCCTCCAGGAACCAGAACATCCATTATGACATGCATTCGAGCATAGTGGTTCATACGATTGACAAGTTGAATTCGTTCTGGCATCGGGACTTGATAAGCTTCCAGTAAACGATTAAATACTGGGAATGAATACGCCAACTGAACGCGCTGACGTCCAACTTTAGGAAGAAAGATTTCTGTACCACCTGAATAGGTGGACGTTTGGGGTTGACCCGCAGCAACAACAGCAGCAACGATTGGATTACCCATTTCATCCAGAGGAACAATACCGCCTCTACCGATAGGAGCTTGAGCAGAAACTTCTTCCAATGACCGCATGTCTTCATAATGATCGGAAACACCAGTCCCTGGGATAACTCGGTGAACTGGAGCACCACCTGAATAGGAAGAACCAGACGTTACTAGGGTTGGAAGACCATCAGAAGAAACAGTAGCCAGTGGTTCTGTTGGTGACTTCCGAGAGTCTTCGTACTTACCAGGCGTCGGACGTTTACAAAGAGGATTGGAGAGTGGTGAAATTGGATAAGGTTTACGACGGAACGCTTTACCAGAGAGACGTCCATTTCGAATTCCGAAAGAGTGTTTTGACTGCGGTGAATTGTCAGAATTAATAAGTGAGTTATTAGTTTGACTAGGTAGTGTGCTATGATGGCTCCTACCGGAATGAGTGAAATCAATGGTAAAACGTGATATATCACGGCGAACGCCAAGATGAGTTACTAGAAGATGTTTCTTGAGGTCTGTGAATCCATGATTAAATGGTTTCAAGCATTCTGGACAACCAGCAACACGACGCTGATTCGCGCGACCAAGAATAGGGACACGATAACTGGCGAAACGACGCAACTTTTCCAGGACACCGTTTAGCTCATCATTTGTAGTATCGTTATTAGGATTAAATTTCTCATTTTTCATATAAGCAGTAACAAATGCTTGTTCATTAAAGTATAGTTGTACATATTCTTCTGCAGCCGTCTCAGTGACACTTTCCTGTTTAGAATCCGCTACATCAGGAGGTAGGTTAGAGGTGATAGGCCTATTGTTGAGATTCATGTCTGTGCTTGGCTTTTTTAGTTCATCATTATCACCTTCAACACCGACATGCTCTTCATTATCTCCAACTTCATCAGCTTCACAACTATCAATAGATGATGGGGCATGAATACTTGATAAATGTTTCGTAACTTCAGCTGAAAGATTGGAGGCGGTTGAACAAAGTAACGGGAGATCGTTGTGTAAATTGGTTCCGTCGTTCATATGGAGCAAAGTTGAATTTCCAGAGGAGAAAAAATTTGGTAGTTGTTGAAGTGGAGAATTGCGTAGGGTTTCCATATTTTTGCTAATAAAATTATAGTTTTCAGTAATAGATTCATCAGATATAGGAACTGTAAAGTCTTCAGTGACCACTCCGTCCTCCTGCAAATAAATGTCAATAAAAACAATGGAATATAATGTCGTTCGTAAGATGTAAAAATGTGGAGAGTATTGACTAGGGACCGAAACTAAGAATACATTCGAAGCATATATTGCTATGTGAAGTGGATTGCCGTTTATTGCACTTGTCCCTTGGTTCGCCAACACAAGTGACGTATGCTGCTAGAATCTACGAGACTTTTCTGAAACGGTCTCAAGATTTCGTCAGACACCAAACCACTACGGCTAATGAGATATCGAAAATAAGTGGGTCGGTTGGTGCACTCAACTACTTCACTTGTGATCATTAATTAAAGCGTTGATGTAGAGTGGTTCTGACGCACTTAAGGGAGGGGAACTCATTACAAATATGTATGTATTGTTGGCGAAAGCGTTCATAATGATCTGAACCTTAACAGCATCTTCATAAAATAAAACTTGATAATGTGAGTACTCCACATTGATGAGTGAGGTACTAGGAAGATCAAGTTAGATGGTGTGATTTATAGAAAGAATATGAAGCATGTATAAAGCATCTAGAGATTTTATAAATATATTCAGTGAGCTTGCAGGTCTTACGATGAAATAACAGGACGAAAACTTTAAAAGTGCATATCCCGTGAATTGTAATAAACATTTATAATGGCGTAATTTATCGACCAGGTAAAGCACAGGTTTCAACATAACTTTTGTGAAAACGAGTACAATTGGTCAGATTGAAGAAACTGCCTAGTAGACAAAGCACTAGTTTGACTAGTGGGTTGGAAACCCATTCAATTTGTTTTTGACTTGGACACTGAATGTTTAATAAACAATATAGGTCAAAAAGGGTGCATGCACTCATATTCGTTAAACCGGTAAAACGCGTCTAAGTCCACCTGAATTTGTCATATTTACAACATCCTATTTGGAAACCAATGCAGTAGTTGGAAATTAAAGCTCCTAGAGGACTTAATTAATTGTCCATCTTACGCTATTGGTATTGGTTAGTGATTACAGAAGCTTTAATTTTGTTTCCAAGTACTCTGAAATTTACGATATGGAGGGATTAACACCCTGATCCTATTAATCAAGAATCTCAAACTGAAGGAGTATATCAGCTCTGACTTGCTATACTTATTTGTAAAGTTAATTATAAACAAGAGCTCAAAGTTCATAACCGGTAAAGTGGAAATAACTGACTTTTGACGGTTAAATTTGTGTACAAAAACTAACCTCACTAAGCAAGGGATGCATATCATGCAAGTGTTCTGTTAGCATATTACGAACATTGGTCATCCAACCGCATTCTGAACAACGATGGAGGACACAGGTGACGGACAGAGAAGTGATGAGCAAATGAGAAGAAATAGCTCGGCACATCGCCAAATGTTGAGCAAAGTTTTCTAGGTGAGATGTACCAAATGAACAATGGGCACAGAAAAATGCTGATGGAACTCGGCGGCTTAATTTTGAAATGTCGGGTGGATGGGATTGAATGCGTGTTGGTCGTACAGATGAAGGCCAAGAACACATAAACTAAAATAGATACTAGAGGTAATAATGGCAACATACCGAATAAGTTGTAGTCACAAGGGGGCTGTTAGTCCCGTGAAACTGAAGCGCGTGTTTTTTTATTATTTCCACATTTTTTGATTTGACACGACAGTTAGGGAAACGACAGTGAAACAGAATGAGTGTATATTTCCGGAGATGTGATTTTAACTCCGTAGGTGAGTTCATTGATCTATCACAATGACCACATTTGAAAAACACATCGCTTTTATCGATATCATGGAGACATAGAGCGTGTTGACCCAGTGCTTTCATAGTACTGAACGATCTGGGACAACATGGACAGCTAAAAGGAAGGTTCTGGGTATCCATTAGACCAAAATGCATGTCAATGTGTTTTGAAATTGATACTGATGAAACCAACTCAGAGCAATAAATACAACGAAGATTTTTTGTTTCGGGATGAGTAGATCTGATATGCATTTCCAACCCATGTGATTCATTTGAGCAAATAAGGTAGACAGGAGAACAGAGTGTGCAAAAATACTTATCAGGAGAGTTTTCCATAATATTTAACACTGCTTCGTCGCTGATGGATTCCATGACTCTTATAAGAGTACTGCCTTATTGACCTTGATAATCGACAGTACTGATGATGACCCCTTTGAAGTGTAGAGAACCAAGTTTGAAATTGCACAAATAACAATCAGATCAAACAAAAATACAATAAATTAAAAACGAACAATTTTTTCAATTAAATTTTACAGTGAAAAATGTTATAAAACTTATTGCAAAATTTCAGAGTTCATTCAATTAGGACGTTTACCGCTTATATCAAGTGATATGATATCGTGATATATGTTTCTGTTAGTTGTGGATACATTATGTCACCTTAGTTTTCTCCCGATACATATATGTCGGATCCATTAGTTTAGCCTTAAATGAAGTTCGCTGAGAGACTGAATGCTCATCTCACTCCAGAATGGAGGACTCAGTACATAGATTACGATGTAAATTCAAATAAATAGATTTTGATGTCTTCAGGAATTAAAGGAACACCTTTATAAATATACACAAGTTTTGGAAACTCTTCCGTGTAAGTTAGTTTTTTGTATACATCACTTTCAACATAGTTTTCTCTGAGGAAGAGACCAAAGCATTTTTGGATGAATGTGACGAAGAATTTTTTAACCTATGTGAAAGTGCCTTGAGGAAGATTGAGGTGTTTTTTTCTGGTGAGACTGAAATCGTTTATTGACAGCTGAATTTAGAGAAGATTGCTGAAGCTAATCGAAAGTTCACCACTTTAGTAGATGAACTTGATAACTACATCGAGTCTACTCATCATAAATCAATCAGTTGGATTACAGGTTCTAAAGTCTCACTTTCCAGAAGATTAACAGAATCATTCGGAAGAGAAGGTGATAAGTGTAGGGTGTCTGTAAGGGAAAATGGTTCAACTAACACACCGATGTGGAATAAAATCAGCAAAATACAGTCTGAAGAAAACTCGGAGTTACGTCGCCGTCAGAGCCGTTCAAAACAGTCTGAAAATCCGAAATATGATGCCCAAAGATTGGACAGAAGAAAGAAGACCTTTAGAAAGTTGCATGATTTGAAGCTAGCTTTCAGTGAATTTTATCTAAGTCTTGTTTTACTGCAAAATTATCAATCCCTTAATTTCACGGGATTCAGAAAAATATTGAAAAAGCATGACAAGGTAAGAAAGGCTTGTGATTGTTTTCGTTTTTATCCTTATTTATCAAGTCACTTTTTTCAGCAATGACATTTTGATATTATGAAAACCATTTGAAGCATTTCGTCTTAAACATTCTGACACATATTCTATATGAATTGATTTGCTCACTTACGTTCATTTAATTGTAGGGTGAATCTTGTCATATTGTTTTTTTACTCATAATTACCAAGGGAAGTGTAGGCCGTAAATGCTATGGTCAAATGAACAAGTTGTACGAAAGCTTTGACCATTACTTCAAGTGTGTGAATGTTAGCAAACAATTATTCTCTATTTGGTGACAAGAAAATCAATTTCTGGTGATCTCATAGTTGTTATCATACATGCGCTGCTACACATGTCACTTAATATCGATAGACGCCAGCGTTTATTGTATCTGTGACGGTACCAAAAATGTCCATTCTTTTGTACACGACTCAATTCATCACTAATTTTCTACTCTGGTTCCACAATTTTTCTCGGTTACTTTCAAAGTTATTTTTTCTTAGTCTTATATGAGTTATCACTGTACATCAATGTCAACTATAACTTGTAGTAAATGCACATGACTCAGCTACCTTCACCGGTCCGCAAACCTTTGAATGAATTGTCCTCATTATCTAGAAGTTTGTCCTTAATTTTATTGCTTACTCACTACTTTAATCATTGTGATATTCATCAACAAAAGCCTGTGATCTGCTCATACTCTTCATCACTTATGGTTATGTTATGACCGCATTGCAGTAAAAGCAACTCATTAAAGATTTTACCTATCTTCAATAAAATTTCTGATGTCTTACTAGTTCTATTAGTGAATTAGTCCAATAAAAAGAGAAAGAGCTTTCTTTGATTGTTCTTAAGTCTCGTTAGCTGACATATTTCTGAACAAGTAAGTCAATATAGATGAAAAGCCCATATTTTCAGACTAGATACCTATTTAAACCAGTTTTGCAGCTTTTCTTTAATTCTAGAAGATACAAAACATGTATTTAGGTTGCTCAAATTACTTTGGATCAATTTTGAGTATTTATTTATCAAGCTGTGTCATTCAAGTGTCACAAATCTATTATAGGGGTTCCTAGGAAAAAACCAATCTTATAACGATGCGGTTTGATGTCAGTATATTCATGAAAGTTATGAAAGACATTCTTGATAGACATCATCGTTAATGCTGACATTGGAGGTGAGTTTTTCACATGACTTCAAAGAGAGTGCCGTTAGCAACACAGTTTATTTTACTTGCACTTTTAAATTTATACGGTTCTATACAACATGCCTGGAAAAATCTAATGTCGCCTTGTGTCTGAGGAAAATAGACACACGGGTGCAAAAGAAGTAACGTTCTTTCGAAAGGCAGTAAATGATAAAACTCCACTCAATATATATTCCCGCCAGACATGAAATCCAACTTATTTCCGCGGATTTGTTGTTCCACGTCTGTTGCTAGTTGTTTTATGTCTATTTTGTTATGGTCATGAATAATTATGTAACATCACTAGTTTCTAATCACCTTTCGTCTACTGTGATATTCAAGAATATTAATGTGGTTGATTTAGTTTCCAAATTTAACTGATATTTCCTGTTCAAATGTTTCTGGATTCATGGTAAACCGTATTAGTAGAGTTGTGCTTAATCACAGTTAACAAGGTCTATAGCTTAGTGGTTTAATCATTTGACTTTCTGAAATTAGTCACCATATAACTTTTGGTTCCGTTTTAAGCATATGTTGATATGCAATGAGATTTAGGATAAATCTTATTCAGTAGTATTTAGCTAAATTAATCTCTGTTTCATAAAATATGTTAAGCATTTTAAACTTTGGTAAACACTTTTGGATATCTCTCAGTAATCTTTTAATCTTTTTAATGGGAGAACATAACTCCAGTGTCTTTTATTTGTAGCTTCTCCGCCGGAACACAGGACTACTTTGGCGGCAACAGGTGGTTGAGTGTGCACACTTCAATACTAGTAGGGAGGTTGATGACCTTATCACAGAGGTTGAGGTGAGTAATAAAGATTCATGATATGTTTTGTTTCTAACTGGGTAGTTATCCGACAAACCTATATAATAAGATGGGAAAAGAGCGAGTTTAGTACCTAAGCATGCTGAAAATAGGAACTGGCCGTGATCTGTTCTTTCGTGAAAGGACGTTGGTGTTTCGTCATCTATTGTTAAATGAAAGTGGGAGAGTAGTGTTGACTGGCATTTTCTGTCAGTGGCTATTTGTATGTTCTGCTTTAACATGAGCTAAGTAGTACAGAATATCAGGACAAATAATGATATGATAATTTTGACATATTTCTTATTTATTGGTATTCATCATCTGAAGTCATTCATCGATAGTGTTATTAATGTAATTAGGGTTATATTTGTAGTGCTTATTGTGTTTATGACAGTGAGCCAACATGAACGATAAGTTTTAAAGCGCATATTTGTTTGCTGGTCAGAAATGTGAGAAATGACTTCCTTTAAACAGGTATAGTAACTATTGAATAATACTGGTGAAAAACTGTCGGAGGATAGTAATCGCTTGTTATCGTTTAAAAGGTATAAAACAATGATAATGACAGAAAAAAACCTAAAAATATTGGGGAAGTGGATTCGAACCATGAAGAGATAAGATTTTGCTGATCTTAGTTTTGCGATCTGATTTCAGGCTTGCATTGGTGGATTTCCAATGCCTCTATAGGGAACGAATATATGGTTAGACCTCCTTTCGACCCCGTTATTATGACCGCGTAAATTGTTTTGAACGATGACCTATTTAGGGGTGTGTGCCCAGAGTTGATGAGGTACTTCTGTATCAAGCTACTAGGTGCTTTGAATTTCTCTTATAAAACCGTGCTGGATAATGTTTTGAAATGCGTTTAAAGAGTGTTCGCTTTCTGCAGCTCACGATATTTGAAATCACGGATAACCTTATGATGCGATCTCTTTATACTATTCTATGCCTTCTAATAGCCGTTAGTGAAATAAATATAAGCACCTTTGTAGGGCATCGCTCATAAGCTATGATCGCAATTCCGTTTCCAATCAATCCGTATGTTGGTAGTTCCTAGTTTTATCCACAGCGTATAATCTACTGAATCTTAACAAATGTGTGGGCATTTTTAATGCTAATGATGGTAATTTTTAATAGGTTCTGAAATGAATACACCACATTTCAATATTTTTCTATGTCACAGTATCGTATTTTTGAAAATTCATTCTTTTTACCGCGTTAACTTAGAATATATTTACGGAGAAACTAGAACAAGGTGATAGACAAAAAGCCATGAAACGGCTGCGAGTGCCTCCACTTTCCGAAAAGGTAAGAAAAAAATCCTCTGATCATCTTGTTTTTATGCATTTTTTAGCATTTGAGCAGATCTCTGTCAGTTTTGTTATCCTTCTCAAGAAGAGACCTTCACACATCCACTAAACCCAATATGTAACTTCAGTTGGAAAACGAATATTTCATTTTTTTCTCTGAAACCAATTTCTGAGAAAATCTATTAGGCGGTAGTTATGTTTTAATTCATAATACAAGTTGCTTCTAGTAATTCTATATTAATCGATAACAACTTCTGGCTGAATACTACTAAATACAGAATTTTTATGACTTCCAAAACAAGTAGTATCTATCACTAAATGCCTCAACGCTTTTTACGGCAGCCAGGAAATTCCGTTTGGTTATTTGATTTATTTTAATCGCAGGCTACGTTAATGATATATTCTCTTCACAAGATCTTTTTAAAAATTATTAATTTAGAGCTGCTGGCTGATTTTCGTTTCTTTTTCTTCAATGACAACAATAACAATAGCAAAGAAGGACTTCTCATTTCCTTCCTTTTTTTAAAACTCACAAATTTCTAAACTCGCGTATTACTTCGAAACTCATTTGAACCAGGAACTAAAAAAGCAATGTAAAACTTAAAGCACTACGCGAAAATTCATCAGTTTGAGTCTTTACAGTTCGAAATAACATAGTAATACTAATCCTACAAAAGTAAACAAATGTTGAGATGAACAAATGAGGCTGGAAAAATAGGATGAAATTAGAATACATTATAAATGTTTCATAAAAACGAAACGTATTTCTAGGAACATAAGCATATTACCTCAATAAGTGATGATAACATGGAAGAAATGTGAATTTTAGAAAATGTTTTAGCATTTTGATTTTGCTCAAGATTTTAATTCGGTAAATTTGATCACATGCATAGGGTATGTGATATTACTTTCAGTTGGTTTCGTCAAATTTTAAAAGAAACAATGTTTTGTTATTCTTATGATATCTGTTTGTCGCCAAGTACACATATTGACAATAAATTATATTGGTGTACAGCCACGGATGTTTGACAATATAGAGACTAAAGAAAGAAAATTGAACGTTTTCAGTTTTTCAATACATACAATTTAAACAGTTTGAGTCGGTTCAATGAAAATGTTAGAAATTCGTCTTATTCCCACATTAAACGCTTTTAAATAAAAAAATCTAATTATTTTACTCACTGGGATATTACGAATATATTATTTTATTTATAGCATTCTACCTAGTGCTCAATTTATTAAAATTATCAAGCCAAACCTTGGTAATGATACCTACTCTTAAATAATACATCGTGTTATCTTTATTTATCATCAAAAGAACTTCCGGAATAACATAAACGAATCTTCTGGCAGTTTTTCTTGAATCTTTTTGTGCCAGGAAGAAATTTATTACAATGCATTTTGCTCACTCAGATGAACTAATTGAAATGAATCTTGCTGTCATTTAGATAATACTAAATATGTTGTTATAAATACTTGATATTGTCATAAATTAGGAAAGTATCATCGATATATATATATATATATTCGGTGCAGAAAAAATAGCTATCTCCTCATACTATAAATATTGCGGTATTATATTAGCCATGGGACTTAGTCAATAATCATTAATTTTAGTTATTTTATCTAATGTTCTTGTTCATTGGTTCTCGCATTTGTGTGTTATCGAATTATTTTTTTTTCGATTCAAGAACTATCCCCTATTTATTGTGCTTTTTCAATCTTTCGTAATTGTGTATCTACTGAAAAAGAAAATAAACACAGAAAACTAACTGTGGAAATATTTTTCTATTTCATCATTTTTTTCATTATTCTATTTTTAACAATAGTTTGTTTTTTCGTTGTCTTTTTTGATCATCCTGTTTTTTTATCGATTTTTTTGTTCTTCCTTCTTTTTCTTTCTTTCAGTATAATCCACGTGGTTTATTCCTTTTTGGTTTGTTTTTTGGAGTTTTTCTGGCTCAGTTTATTGTTATATTGTTAACTTGTAAGTGTTATTTAAACAATATTAAAATTATTTATTTATTTATTATACTTGAATATTGTAGGTTTGTTTTATAATTTTTCAGTAATTCATCGAATAAACTCACTTGGTATTGTTTTACTTCTACTTCCAATTGAGGTTTAAGACTGCAATTGATCAGTCTGTTATTGGCATATGTATGTACATCTAGCTGACGAGTTCCAAATAGGACGAAACACGCATCCTGGATTCCACTGCTAGCCACTATCCATCATCGAATGAACGTCTTGATAATTATTGTTATAATTGTGTATATATTATATTCAGAAAGTATACTAGCTATTTAGATTTTTAATCTGGGTTGTAAAATGTACACCTGAATCCTTTGAACTAAGAGAATGCAACTATTGTGACCACATGCATTTAATTGATCGGTCTAGAATTCTCGGTTTGGTAATTTGTTAATAATTTAAAAATTTCGTCTTCGTTAAAACTCTTTATAATTGGATGAATGGTTGACTTTTAGACACTAAGTCACATATTCAAAGCCTCTTTACCTAATACTTTTCAATCTGTAAAATAATGTCACACATCTTGATCAGACAGCTGAGATGCCGAGAGGCGTCACTACTAACGTATAAAGGTACAATCTCTATCCTTTTTTAAGGCAGCGTAATTTTTATCTGATTGTATGTGACTGGGCATAACAATAAATAGGAAAGGGTCCTAAAAAAAATCTGAAAAAAATGTTTATGTCACTGTTTACGTTCTTATCCTCCATATGAAAACAACTTTAATAGTGTAAAAAATGATAGTTTATACTGGTTAATAATCCGTAATTCTTTAAGATGTATAATAAAATCATGTTTTAATCACTTGTTATATGTATTTGTGTATTTTGTTCTAAGACATGGGCGGGCTTATATAAAACCTTATGGATTTGATTTGATTTCATGTCCCAGTAATCAAGAAACATGTAGTATCATATGACATATTTTATACTCTTTCATTATAACGGTCAAGTTTTAACTAATTTATTATCATATATACACATAGAAACATATTTATTTTAACACTTTTATTTATCTCAAAATTAACATCCACTCATTATTTTACTTCACTAATAAAGCTTGAAATTAATTCTTTTAATTTTATTTGAATCTTCCCACCACCGTTTAGGACTGTAATTGGTCAGTCTCTTTTGCCATATTTGCATCCTGCGCAGATTATCTCCATATTGCCATTAAGTTGAACACATTTTTAAGCAGAGATGGATGGTGTGTACAACTCTGAGATTCAAATGCATTCATCTGAAAAATCCCAATTAGGAAGAAACGCATGTGCTAGCCACCAACTATCTTCGCTTAAAAATTATTTAAAATGTTACAGGTTTAAATATGCTGAATTTGTTTGGAAGAAATGAACTGAGGAGAATAGTATAGCCAGTATTACCAAAAAAATTGTTGACAATAAGGATGAAATATCGTAGATAGTTGTAAACCTTTGCACTCAAAAAAGATTTTTATGATTTCTTTCGTTACATATTTAAACAACAGACCGTTTAAACAATACGAATAGTTACAACGTGGTCCTCATTGACAAGTGTAGTTTTAAACATTGATGTGAAAAATAGTAACAATATAGTGATCAAACACATGGGGTATTTAAATATTTTTAAACTGAAAACTGTTGAATGTAAGAGTTAAAGTATGAAAGATTTCCATTTAGATTGGGGAAATTGTCTAAAATCTAGGGTGATAGCAAAGCATCGGATGTTTTATACCCATTTCACATGTTACTCTTAATTACAGGTATGGGAAATAAAAAGTCATACACTTTTAAGTAGTTTAGGTTGACGTTTTGCAAAAATGGGTCAGAAAGGTAAGAGACATTGATCGGATGAAATAATTTTCTCAATGCGTTCATTGTTTCTAATTTTCAAGCATTATTAAACAAATTCATACAGTTTTTATATATGAATGGATCTGTCTTAATTAGTGTTTTTATACTGTTTATTGATGAAATCATAACAACTGAAGCATGTTGACATGATAGACGCAAATTAGAAAAGGATGATCATTTACTTAATCAAGATGCTTTGTTAACGAAATTGTTTCACAATATTTTGTCTAAGAATTTTCATTCTTTTGTTCATTTACACTGTTAGCGGATAATAAATACTGGTTTAGATGTATGTTATTTAGTTAGCATAATAATATTTTGCTACAAAATAGTAATCATAATAATATTGCCAAGTATTACCGTTTTTACTTGGAACCAGAAATTTGTAATATACTTTAATACATTAAAAAGACAAAGTGCATAGGACCAATGAATTCATTTCCATTTTGATTCATATATTCATATGTTACATGAATAAATACTATGACTACAATTGATAATTCTACATTATGAGAGACTTGCAATAAAAATGTTTATGATTATTTAATTAAAAATAACTTTTCAGAATACACATGTTTGATTCAATGAAGTTTTTCTTTGTTTCACTTTCAAGAAGGTAGCTAGAAATGAAATTTGTACAATTCTGAACGATTTAATTAACATTCAGTCAAAATGGCCTTCTCTTTTTTTCTGAAGTGACATCATTTTTGTTGTTGTTATTTTAGTTGAAATTAAGCACTAAATAAGTTTAGTGAAATATTTTAGTAGCTATATCATAGGTTTATAACAGGGAAATTAAATTAAAAACTAAAATGTCATACTAGGATTTTTCCATACTTCTTACTACATTGTTTTATTAAATAGAAATAACTTTAATTGCTGAAAAATTCCCATTATAACTTATAAAGTCACTTGGTATTGTTTTGCTTGTATCTTCCCATTGAGAGTTGATGTTCACTCTGGGACTCGAACCCAGAGTGTCCTGGTTTCCACTGCTAGAAGTAACTTTTGTTTTTATCAAACATAAATATTTTATTCCCTGTGTATTATTTTTAAGTTTTGCATTTTGTCTTTTTAAACGAATAGATAAATAGATTCTTCTCTTGTCTTTCATAATTAAATCCTAAAATAGATGTTTGTTTATTTAAACGGATTAATATAAATATCAGGATGCTAAGAAAATGTTTGTGGGCTTGAACAGTATGGATAGCTGTGATAGATATTGACAGATAAATGCCACTTTTTTATTAAATAATAATTCAGTAGATGAAAATGCTTCGTATTTTCAAATGTACAAATAAAATTATACGTGGGTTAATTTTTCATTTCTATCAAATATCTAGTAGGTTTTACATAAGTCTGAAGAAATTTTTCTTTTAAGTACATTTTACTGTGGACATTTATGTTCTAAATTCTACTGGAAGAATTAAACTTGATGAATTAACTTATTGTTGGGTAGTATAAAATAAGATTGGCAATATAAAGTACTTGGTATCGAAAAGTGAAGGTATTTAAATAGTTTGATATTTGATTGAAAATTGTACAGTGTTTCTTGAATGTTGATATGTTTATTGTTCTTGACCTATTTGAGCCTCAAAACTTTAATAATATTTTGGAAGACCTAAACGAAGTTGAAGTAAACTAAGTGAAACAACGGTGTTCGCGTTTTATTCTAATTCAGACGTACTAAAAAGATAAGACGATCTTGATTATTGTGAAGAATTTTAAGGTTAATGACGGCAAACAACCCATAAACGTTACTAAGAAACTTAATACCCTTCATATTTTATTGAACAGTTTTAGGAATTAATAACTCATCGGGGATCTTATTGGTCTCCTAAAAACATACGTTAATCAGTGTTTAAGACAGTAACCAGTTTTGAGAATCAAGACATGATGGTTATTGTAGCGACATTAATCGTTTCTAGGTGTGGTTGTATGCTTTCACTACTACTCAGTAAAAAACCTTAACCATGCTAAAATAAACTGTGTTCATTTCAACATCGAGCGAAGAAAAGGAACCTGAACTAAATATCTTGTATATAAACTAGTTAAAATATTGTTTAGATTTTATTGTAGGTATTATCAGTCTTAACAAGATATGTTTATTTTAGATAGAAACTTCATCTTCCAGAACCAAATGGTTTCTCAGATATGGAGTATTTTTGATATTTTTGCATAAACTGAAAGGATAATGTTACGTTTTTTCTAAAAGCATGTATATAATGCTTTTTGTGTGTTTTGAAAAGGTTATTGGTATAATGAATATAAGGTCAAAACTTCAATTGGCAAACGATTTGTTTTTGCCTACACATTTATGTTTTGGAAGTATACATAATAATTACATCCAAAATAAAAATAGTCTGGTCACCTGTTTCAGGTATAAATATAAACAGTTCCTATTCACTGTAGATTTTAAAAGGTTCCAAGTGAAGTAAAGAATTATAGTGTTTTGAAAAGCAGTAGAGAAAACAAAATTACGAAATAGGATGGCTTATATTGTGAGATGTAATAAAAATAACAGGAAAATGCAATGCACGAACTTTATGGAATGCTGATGTGCGACATTTAGTGTATAAAAAGAGAAATATTATACTGAATAACCGGATGAAAATTTATTTGAAATTAGTAATAAAAAACCGGCCTAAAATTAAACAATCTTTGGATTATATCCCACATACCAAGTTGTTAAATAATTATCAAGAAAATTAATAAATAAAAAATAAACGGCTAACAAAGTTATGGATGAAATACTGGATTTAGCACAATAAATGTATCGGTTGAGAGCTCTTCACAGGAAAACATGATGGATAGAAGCATCGTTGTGCAAACTTTATTTTGGGACGAGATCTAAAGAACTTAGTTGGTATTCTAGATAATTTATGAGTCTCATTTAGTCAGATATTATAGATCTGTTACCTATTTACTATCTCACTATCGTAACTCATTGACTAATTTGATGTATGTAAACATATCTTGTCTCTAATACAAAATAATAAATCTTAAAACTAAGCCCTTTTCGAAAACAGTAGTTCTGCCTTTCAAGTATTTTTATATTGTCAGATAAAAATCCTTCTACGGTAAATGAAGTCTTTGATAAACCATACAGTCGAAGAGAGAGA